CAAAAATCCCTTCTTTAAGTTTTGCTTCTGAAAGAGCTAGGAATTGCCCACATAGGTATTTGAAACAATCGCCATCTTTGTCTAAGGTCCTTACAGACTGCTTCATGAAACCCAGTTTTATGTAAAGTGGAGGTAATAGGACTTTTTTTTGTGTCAGCCAAACTTTAACATTCAATATTTTTCAATCCTGGTATCAGGCTGACTTTGTATAGCCATTTCTTCTTTATCCAGAGCTGATTTCGTGCTCTACTGTCCCATTCACACAAAAAATATGGAAACTTTGTATAACCACATTGTTGACCCAACAACATATAAAGGACTTTTAAGTCTCCACAAAATAGTCAACCATGTTTTTTGTATTTGGCCTTATGAAGAAAAAGTTAGAGATTTTCGTACATTTCCTTCAAGTGAACCGAACGAGCAATAGGAACAGATGCATATATTTTACCATTCTTACCTTTTATACTTCATTTGGAGGAATCAATGAACAATCACCATTCATTTGGTTCATAGACTGCAGCTCTAAGCATTGGTATTAATTCAGCAAAATTGTTGCAATAAACCAGTGAACCTTCTTGCAAAAAATATGTATAAACTCTTTCTCACGATTTCTGTACCAGTAAAATAATGTCTCTGGAGAAAGTAAGTTCTTAGCCCAAAGTTTCTACCCCAAAATCTCTGAAGAATCCTTTGGAAGGCCCAAATCTCTCACCAAATCATTAAGTTCACCTTATGTGAAAAGTTGTGATTCACTAGATTTTTCAGGTTAAAAACAATCCCTATCATAATTTCTATTGACATCAGATTCAGAATCAGATGAAACTGTATCAAGAGCATTTGACGGAATAGGTACATCAGATCCACAAGCAACAGGTCTTATAGTAGACTGAAAGATCAGATAAGAAATTTCCTCTTTATTTTGAGTGTTGTAGCCTTGTACATTACATAAGCAAAAATATCAGTCATCTTCATGGTTTCTAGGCTCCCGCCAGACAGACCATTGGAATTCTAAAAGGCAAAGACTTTTTTCTTACCTTTAGTCTATTATCTCAACTCTTCGATACAAATGGTGCAAACTTTGTGCGGAGCCCATGAATTGTCCAGGTCTTGAAGTTTCATTCCAAAATATGCATAATATACTTTGTTGATGAATTCTGTAATGTTTTGCCTTTGTTTCTTTACAACAAATATAATAGAATATGTTTGGGTAATTTACACAACTTCTTGTTGCCATTGCAATGAATAAATAATATTGAAAAGAAAAACAAAGTGCACGCACAAACACAAATACTATCCAGAAATGGCATGTCGTGCAGCCTGTTAACCACTTTATACTAGCAGTGTGTCTCTCGTGGGTTCTAGAATGATCAATAAGACTCTCATGTCGTAATCGGTCTAGAGAAATCTATAGCCAGCGATTGTCAACATTTTAAGCACAACAAAATATGACCCAATTTTAATGAAAATGATTCATTTATGTAAAAGTACATATGACATTTAGGGAAAAATCTGTACATGATGAAGAAAAATGGATATCATTTTTGAATTCAGTGTACAGGAATTACTATGAAACATGTAAAAATTTCAAGACAATCCATCACAGGCCTGTGTAATTATCCTCTTAGTATATATATATGTATCTGAGAAAACTCCACTTTCAGGTCAAAATAAGAAGTGTTAAGTAACTGAATAAAATACATACTGCACAAGTAAGCAATTAAACTTCAAGCTTACTTAGTACACATGTGGTCAATGAGCAATGATTCATTTTCCAGACTATGAGTAGATTTTGTATTGTGATAAAGACAGTGATCTTTTTGCAACTCAAGAGCTTGGGAGAGGAGAGTTTGCAGTCTCCTTGGAGGTAACATCACAGTTGCTGGAAGATAAACTGGAAGAAAAAATGCAAGTATCAACATTGCATTACGGAATGTTCCACTTCTTGTTAACATTAGGAAACAAATACAAGATAAACATCACATTACAGAGCATTCCACGTTTTGTTCACAGTAGAAAACAAATACAAGTATAAACATTGAATTACACATCATTTTAATTCTTGTTAACACTACAAAACAAATGTAAATATCAAAGAGAAAATAAATTAAGCACAATTAATCACAACTTCCAGTTTCTTCACTACCTAAGAACTACAAGTTGTTATATACTTTACCTAACAATGTACTAATACAGGCCTGATGCAAATAAACTTTTGGATAACATATAAAAGACTAAAACTCTTGTGTACAGCTGCATCATGGCATCTTTCATCTCTTGTGTTGTACCACATATTGTTTCTTACCTACAGTTACAAACGTGTCAATGTCTAGATTCTCTGATGACCTAAACTTTGAGATTTATCTATTTTGGTTACTATGTTTATATTGTAAACATGTTTGACTTGATAATAACAAAACTTAGCAAACACAAACAATTTAGTTTTTGTTTAATAAAGTTGTTAAGAAAATGTAAACTTACAAACAAACTCGTATCTAATTTGAAATGCACATAATTTGTGTAAAAGGATAAAAAAACAACTTAATATATAAATCTTAGAGGTACAGGAATATGACAAGAGTGTATAACACATTTTTGTCCACCTTTCTACAGAAAATATATCCAAATGATCAAACAATATATTTTAATCAAAATAACTTTTTATTTTATGCCACTGCATACTCCTAGTTACTCCTTATGGGTTGATTTTTTGTTCTGATTTATGCACATAGCTTACTTTGAACAAAATTTAATGATAACATCATGTATGTTATACTCCACATCTTCTTTTATAATTAGCATCTTTAAAATAATTGGTTATAATGTTATATATAATTATATATCATTTTCATTATTTTTCATTTCTTAAATGTTTTGTATTAAAATATTATTTCTCACTGTAAGCTTATTATATGGACTTAGGACTAACCTAAACCTCAAGAGATATTATAGTGATTACAAAAACAAAAATATTTAACAGCAAGCGTATCCAATTGATGAAACAATGCACTGAAAATCATGATATTATTTTTGTTTCATGACATTGCATACTCCTATTTAGACCAATATACCAAAAAGTTAGATTAATTATGTGGTTAATTGTTAGTTCTACATAGCTAATGTTCTTTGATTAGAAGATAACAATGTTACTGTAGTTTATGTCAGTTTGAAAATTGTAGAAAGAGACTGATATAAAGTAAAGTTCATTTTTGTACAAAACTAGATTAGTTTGTTTACAATATTTTTATACTGTATATATAGTATATAATGCATGTCTGACCACAGATCTAACCACTCTTGCATATAACTTGTAGAATGTTACTTTGATGATAACTGACTCATCACACAAGCCAAACAAAATTTGAAATATAATTAGGGAAAATATAATTAAAAGAGTTAACCATTTTAAACTTAGCCACAAATGTAAAAAACGTTAGTTAAATGAACCTTCATCAGTTCAGGCATTAATAGTCTGGATTATTTTTCATGTACACAAATCTTCCCAATGGGAAATTTAATCAATAATTCATATGTTTGTGTTTAAAATGTGAACAGATGTTTCATAACAAACATGCACTTCCTAAGGATACTTCAGTCCAGTAAGGGTTGATCACAATAGGAAATGAGGTGATAATTATTGACTAAAAACACCTGCACAAGTAGTTGGTAATGGTTTACAACAATTTTTCTGAGCACAACTTTCACAGTAAGGGTGTACTTATAAGCTGTAGCAGATATAGTAAGGTCATCAAAGTGACTTATGCTACAGTCATGCCAAGTCACAGTGTCCCCAAAATAAAATAATTTGAAATATCAGCATCATTAAAAGATCATGTTTGTTTAAATAAGAAAGCAACAACGTGCATTTTTGTATTCTATAAGTACTTAATTTATTTTGAACAAAATGATGATCTATGTGAAGTTAATGACATAATCTGCCACTTTGATTATGCAATTTGTATAATTATTGATGACATATAAAATAATAAACTTTTTAGTTTATTGTACTTACAGTTACTTTTTGTTTATCATTTGCAAGCCAACCTTATTAGTTTGCACCCTTACATTTACTGATCAATAACACATGCTATTAATAGTGTCCATTGTATCCAGAGTGACTGATTTGACTGTCCAAATGTTTTGATAACCAGAACTAATACAGTGTAATTGTATTTGGAGAAACTAAATTTCCTGTATAAACTGAAGCGATATTTAAGTGAAATTAGTTTCACCCAAGAAAAAAAATTTTATTTCTGTGTCCAAACCATCATTTTCACTTCTAAAATCAAATAGTAATATATGTATATTAAACAGAATCCTATAGCCTACATCTCAATGTTTAAAGCTAATTGTTTGAGTTTCCTGAAGCCTCAATAAAATCTACCTTGCAGTTTTTCCATTAGTTTCTGTCTGGAGAGAACTCCTTTCCCATCCCAATGAGACATACCTCGTAATTCTTCACCTGTACTGCACATCATGTAACTAAAAAAATTATGCACAAGTCAACAACTGTGAACCAGCTCAGTGGAAAAAGAGTTTTAAAACAATAATTTAGACTACAGAAAACAAAGTATAATGTAATGAACACAAGCCAATAAATATAAGCCTAGCAGTACATAATATAACTAAGCTGAAATTCAAAAGATAACAACCTTTAAAATATGCATCTTTAAAAATATTTATAAGACAAATCTGCTTCTTATTTATGAAATAGAATATACTGAGTTGCACTAAAAATAATTACTAGTAAAACTTCTAAGGAAAAATGTTGGGCTGAACACAAAGATATTTCCAAAATATGAAGAATCTTAAGCATTAAGATAATACAAATTTATAGATAAATGAAAGTAATTTCTACATATGTGTACATGAAATTAAAAAAAACTATGTAGATTATGCTATTTCAATCTAAAATATGTTTCTTATACATACCTACTAAGTTCGTGGACTCGGGATGTATTGTGTTTTAGAGGTGTGAGTTCCCCTCGTAGACACTGCAATGCTTCTAACACATGGCCATTTTCTAAATGTTCCAAATATTTTTGCTCAAGAAGAAGAAACTTCATTTCCTAAAGAAATCATAAAGACAACAAAAACAAAAAATACTGATGAAAAATAGCAATCTATTCTAAACAAAAAAAGAAGAGTTATTTAATATAACTTAATATACTTTCAATCAATGGCATGCAAACCACCATAACACTACTATGGGACCCATGTTCCCTTGGCTCACCACACAGCCCACAAACACACACATGCATATAGATTTAGTGATTACAGTATGTATATATTAGTTAAACCATAGCCATAATTCTGAATTAACTAAGTAGTCAAAAGTTAAATTTCATGAATGAGCAGTAAATGGGACCCAAATTATTCTTTTGCTATGAAGCCCATGACATGCTATGTATGCCACTGCTTTCAGGATAAAAGTGAGATAAACAAGTAAACAGAAAAATTCATATTTCATTACAACATGTGACTACTTGGTATAATAAATGCTCCTTTTTTTAATTACCCTTTTTTCAGGTGTTGGTGATTTTTTTTCTAGATTAGTAATCAATAATTTATATTTAACAATCATTCTTTTACCTTAATAATTTAATCGACTTGTATTTATATTGTTAAAAACTAAAAAAATTTGCCACAATTTCCAGATACAACATACAAAATGAGAATCAGAATGAAATAAGATTTTGAAAAACATTAAATACTAGTGTTCTAACATCGAAATATTCAACTTCATAATAATGTCAAGAACATCACATTGCTCATAAAAGCTTTTTCACATTTGTACCTTTCAGCACTCTCACTACAGGCTTGATCAAATTGCCAGAGTTTGTGACCCTAAACTGACATTTACAGTTTCCATACTATAGCTTCTAATATGTTTTGTGTACCTTCACAAAATTTTGCAAGCTTTCAGGAAGCATTTAGTCTTTTGTAGACAAAAAATCAAATTTTTAATCAAGTATTTTCACTAAAATTTTTTCTGAATATATGGAGTCAAAGTGCTCCAAGTGCAAAGTGATTTTCAAGTTAAGATTAAAAATATTTTTCTTCGTCTGAAAATTGTGTTATTTGCATAATCTGTAACACCTCCTAAATAAATTTCAAATGTTTATTTTTTCAGTAAAACTTTATATTTTATCTGTTATTTTCTCTATCCTAACTACAAGGTTGGTCAATATGTTTCTATTTACATTTTACTGTTTTATTACTCTTTGAACTGTGTCTAATTAATAATTCCACTTAACAAGTTGTAAATCACTTGGTGAATGTGTAGCTCACATTACCCTATTGAATTATGTAAGGCGCAGGATACTTGCAAGCATACTTCGTGAAAAAGTTTTATTATTATTATTACTATTTTTCTTTATTTTACCTAATCTAACCTAATAAGTTTCTAATTTTTATATTTTAATTACGTTTATAATAATAACTAAAGAAAACACATGAATAACAAAAAATATAGTAATTTCCTAGGTCTTCTTTTTGCTGTCGACTGTTGATGAAATTTAACCTTACTTTTTATGTTAATGGTACTACAGCACCAAATAATGCATCTAAGAACACAGAAAAATAGCATGCAAAAAGCAGACAATGTCCTTTAACTATCATAATTTTTCTGGCTTTCTAACTACATGACAAGAGTCATTAAAACTTTAGCTAAGCTCAATGATGTGTTTCCATGAAAATAAAGTTTGAACTGGAAGTGAAACAGACAGAAAACAATGCAATAAAATACATCATTTGATAAAATGAAATGTTGGCTGCCTGGTTATAAATAATATAATATCATAATAAATGTCAGAGAGAACTATTGGCAATTTGTAAAAGAAAGGATGTGATAGGCAGGTATGACAAAAGTGGTCTGAGTTTTCAGTTTAAGGCTCTGTAACCAAATAAGATTGAAAGTTATAAATCGTATGCTTTGCCTAAGCAATAATAATATTATAATGAGTAATTTACATTACATTCCACACTTCTCAGAGGGAAGACCTAGAATGAAATGTCACAATTCTCATACTAGGGGAATTAAGGATTTTCTTTTTTATATTACCTTATAAAATTAAGAACTTAGAACTTATATAATATTAAAATTGGGATTATTACCTAAGGTTTTATGCCAAGTTTATTTGTATAACATGATAATAAAGTAATTTAATTAAAATTGGAATGTAACTCAGTAAAACCTCATGAAATTTGCAGAAAAGGATGTTTGCATGGAAAAAGTTAATCCTTCAGGAGAGGATTGGGGAGATAAAGGTATTATGTGATGTAAACAAATGTATTTGCACAAAAGTGGTTTCATTGGTGCTGCAATACTAGTCAAAATATGAAATACAGTAGCATGAAAGTAAGAGAGCAGATACAAACTCAATAGATACTGCTTCCTTTCATTCATGGTATACAGACATTGGTTAATTTGTCCAATTCAAGCCAAAATATATGATTATTTTCACTTTCAAGGTTATCAACTCTTTGTCATTTGGTTGTGATTGCACATGCTTTGGCAGGAAAGAACATATAGCTAATTAACACACACACGCATATATATGCATATATAATGATATAAATATTCATTAAGGTTATGCTATATATGAAAGCTGAACTGCTAATAGTAACCGTATGTGATTTGTTAAAGTAATAAGTTTAAGTAAAATTCAGTTTGATGTTTGTTAAATGTTTCCACTACTTCCTTTAATGATATGAATTTCATGGTTTATACATTGATGTTGAACAGTTTTGGAATAAAATGGTCAGGTTTCATATTACTGTGAATATTATGAACCCTTACAATCACCAACTTACCAGAAGAAGCTGGTCCTTCAAAAAAAGCTTGTGCATCATGACACATATCCTGGACTTTCCTGGCACATTTGTCTTAATCCAAACATCCTATGTACTATTTAACTCTCTCTTTAATATAGTGTGTATATCTTAACAAAATTTGCCAGTCTTTCAGTTCACATTACAAGTTATTCACGTACAATAAAAATTTGTTCATGAATATATCGAGTATTTGTTTTAAATAGTCCGTGTGCAAAGTAACTTTAATGTTAAAATTAAAAGTACTTTTTCTCATAGCAAAAATCTCAAATTTCCTTTGTGTAATCCCTAAATCCTCCTAAGTACATTTCAAATGTTTGCTTTCATTAAAACTTTATTTTATTGGATATTTTCTCTACCCTATCTGTAAACAGGATCTGTCAATTTGACCAACCTCATAACCACCAAAAAAAAATCGAAATAAATCTAAATTACCCTTTTCTTCTTTGTAGAATGACTTCAAATTGTAACATAAAACTAAATTTGTTTATCCTAAGTGGTTCTAAGTTCGTAACATTATACATCTATTTATAATTAAATTCTATTGTTTTATTGCCCTTTGAACCATGATTAACTACTATCCGTGCCATTAAAAGTTTTGAATCACACTGGCCACATGCAGCTCACGTTACACTATCGAGTTACATTACCCATGAGCTGCTCATGTGCGTGACTCATGAACCATTTTAATTATATTATTATTATCACATATTTTACCTAATCTAGTCTTAAATAACTTAAAAAGATCCACAATTTTAGATTTTAGTTTATAATGATAAACTTATATAATTTGCATTATTTAATTAAATAAAAATTATTAAGTGCATCACTATCATAACTAAAAAAAATCAGCCTTAACTGTCCTCGACAATCAAGAGCAAGAAAAAAGAAGATTGGGTTAGTAATTTATTTCTTGTTTTTCATATTTATTCTTTATTTATTATTATTACTTTTTGCATGTTATTAGTCTATATTCTTTGGCATAGTTAGAAAGCCAGAAAATTTTGAGAGGTAAGGAATTTGTCTTCACCACCCCTCCAGGAAGTACGAAATCTAACTTAAATTACTCACTATAAAATCATCATTGCTCAGACAAACCATAATTTTTATTGCCTTCAATTTTGTTTGGTTACAAAACTATCATATAGAAAATCAGACCCTCCTGCCACACCCACCTGTCACATAATTTCTTTCAGGATTTGTAACTCTTTCAATACGGGGTCGGTAAATATGACGATCTCGTAACCATTTTGTGCTTGTTATAGTTTTCATGCTATAACTTTTAAATTAGTAAGCGAACGTTAACAAAATTTGGCAGATTATCAGTAAACATTACAATGCTTTCATACGCAAAATATCATTTTTGTTTTATTAAGTTGTAAGATTTGTAAAGCAATGTTTCTCTCATGCCTTTTTTTCTTTTCACATCTTGCCTATCTATCATGCAAAGTAATTTTCATTTTAAGATTAAAAATACTTCTAAGCATCAGAATATTTTGAAATTTCAAATGTGAAATCTTTATAATGTCTGGATAGTTATAAAACATTTCTTAAGAAAAAAACTTTATATTTTAACTGTTATTTTCAATTATTAATCTCTGTACAAATTGTCAACTTGTATTTGAATGGCTGCTTAATATACATCACAACACATCACCATAATAACCAAGTCAATTAAAGCAAAGATTCATACTCATATTGTTATCAAGATAATTCTGATATTGTTTCACTGAGTAACACTGTTATGTATTCTGTGGTTTTCCCAGACAAATAATTTCCATTATTTTTAAACATTTTTTCAGTTAACTACTGCAATCACATCTAATAGAGATCTTTTGAAAGAACTAGAAACCTTTTGGATCAATTCAACTTTTATGATTCAATGTTGTGTTTTGCTTGTAAGTTATTTTTTTTAACAATAACACATACCCACATTTAAATAATATCTAAAACGATAATTCTTCTGAATGATTTTATAGATGTTGTCTTATGTGCATCTGTCATCAGAGGGTATGATGGTTACAAGTATAATTATTAACCAGTTCTTAAGAAATTTATTCACTTTAGATCTGAAAGAAAAAATCTAATAAGAACACAGAGACAACATAATTTTAATAACGTGTATAAGAAAAGAGTCCTGATTTTCCCTTAGAAACAGAAGATTGTACCCAAAATACTTAAGACTGTAACTCTAAAATGTCCGTCAAAATATTCAGGCCTAGATCGATCACTGCAC